GTGGTTGAACAACTTTACACTCCTACCAACAGTGCAGTAGCATTCTCTTTTGGCCACATCCCCTCCAGCATCATTGTTATTAGATTTCTTGATTATAGCCATTCTAACTGGGGTGAGGTGGAATCTCAATGTTGTATTGATTTGCATTTCTTTGAAGGCCAGAGAAGTTGAGCATTTCTTTATATGTCTATTGGCCATTCTTACTTCCTCTTCAGAGAAGTCTCTCTTTAAGTCTTTAGCCCACTTATTAATGAGATGGTTGTTTCTTTGAGGATTTGTTTTAGGGGTATTTAATTTTTTGAGTTCTAAGTATATTTTAGATATGAGGCCCTTGTGTGTTGTATGGCTAGTGAAGATCTTCTCCCAATCGGTACACTTCCTACTGATCTTGCCAGCTATCTTTTGCCATGCAGAAGCTCTACAGCTTCATGCAATCCCATTTGCTATCACAAGATTTTGCACTAGGAGCTGATCACATAAGCATTGTGGAAGGTAAACATTGAGCTAATTTGAAATTACTCACAAAACATTTGATCAAATGAATTTCTTTTTCTATTTTTCTATTTTATTTGAAGCAAGCCCAAATCCCATAAACAGGATACATCTTGATTTGAGAGAGTGATTACAAAGAGAATCACGTTGCACCTTTTCATGAGGGGAAACATGGACTTTGGTAGAGCGCACAGCTGACAAACTTTTGTAAAAAGTGATGAATGATAGTTTACCACAATTTAAATGGTGGTGTGTTTTTTATCATAATCAGATTATGGACATAAGCAAAAGCTTAGGAATGACAAAAATGTATCCTTTTTTAAAAGTTAATGAAACCCTGCAATATAGTACTAAAAATATTTGTTCCAATATATATCCTATTTTGTTCTCCGATGTGGGAACATTATTCAAAGCTCTGGATATGGCTATGGCATATTTTACATGGTACTTAGCAAATAACAACACATTTAGAGAAAGTATCAAAGGTACAAGTATCTTTGAAAACTCCACTACAAAATGTAAAAATTTGTTGAAAGAATGAATTGCTTGTTGGCTGAACAATAAGTCACAGATAGGTCTTGCTTTTGGCTTCTAATGTTTACTGGTCAGTTAAGAGGAAGAAGGATTAGATTTGAACTGTCACTGTGGAGGTGAAACTTGGCCCAATTTCTAAAGCAGTTGTAAGAATGAAAGAAAACATCTATCAAACACCTATTAAAGAATAAATTGTGAAGGAGGAGTTAGAGGAGAAATAGAAAGAGGAGACAAAAAAGATCAAAGAAAAGAGGAGGAGGAAGAAGGAGAAAAGAAGACAACATTTTCATCTCATGGTGAGGAATTATTACCAATGTCATTCAGCAGATATATATTATGAGTCTTATATGTGTAGATGCTCCTTTAAGATTACAAAAATGTAAAAGGTGACAAAAATTCTTACTCTTACAAATGTATTCTTATAGTGGAAGGAGACAGAAAAAAAATGAATAAGTAAATTATGTAGCATAGTGAAGGCAAGAAGTACTATATAAAAATAGAAAGTCAAAGTTTAGTAAGAATCAGGAATAAGAATCAGGAAAGGTACAACTAGACAGTTAACAAATGAATAAAAATACATTAATTTCATCAGTAATTTTTAGGATTAGTTTCATTAATATGACCAATGGACACCCTTAGTCACGTCCAACAATATTATAATCTTTTTTTATTGTGAGAATACCATTCAGAGAAGTTACAATTACATGGGCAAGATAACGAGTACATTCCTTATCAAGCATTGTTGCCTCCTCTTTGTTCTCCCTTCCCATCCCTTCCCATACCCTTCCTCACCCCCTACCCAATCCTACCCCCACCCCAAACCAAAGTTGTTAAGTTTGTTTTTTGACATAACAACTTGTACATCTCATTCTTGCAATGGGTCCACGTGTATCCCTAGTTAAATGATTTGTTTTTCCCCTTCCCCTCCACAAATTATACCAACATCAAAAACAGTGAAATTATGGGTTATATTGTGGGGGAGGGACATACAAAGCAACATAGAAATCATCTTATAAATATGATAGAAACAATTGCATGAAAGGAAAAGAAAACAAAAAACATTTGAATACTTATCTTGGGGTTCATTCTCCTAACATCAACTTATCTGACCTTTTCTGCTTGACTCAGACATAAACTAGTTATTGCAAATAAGGGAAACTATGGGACCTATGTTCCTTTGGGCCTGACCCCAGGACCGATGGAATAGACTTGAAAACCCAGAAATGAACCTAAAGACCTATAGCCATCTAATCTTCGATAAGGGAGCTAAAAAAAATAGAATGGAAGAAAGACAGCCTCTTCAGTAAATGGTGCTGGCAAAATTGGTTAACTACTTGTAGAAAACTAAAGCTAGATCCTTATATATCACCTTGCACCAAAATCAACTCCAAATGGATCAAAGACCTCGAAGTCAAAGCAGACATTCTGAAAACATTGCAGGATGGAATAGGAGAAACCCTAGGTCTCCTTGGCACAGGCCGAAATTTTCTTAATAGAGACCCAGAAACACAATAAATCAAAGAAAGGTTGGACAAATGGGATTGCATGAAATTGCAGAGCTTCTGCATGGCAAAGGACAATAGAAAGATCAATAGAAAGCCCATAGATTGGGAAAAGATCTTCACTAGCCATACAGTGGACAAGGGTCTCATACCTAAAATATACTTAGAACTTAAAAAATTAAATCCCCCAACAACAAATCCTCAAAGAAACAACTGCCCAATAAATAAGTGGGCTAAAGACTTAAAGAGAAACTTCTCTGAAGAGAAAAGAAGGATGGCCAATAGACACATAAAGAAACGCTCAACCTCTCTAGCCATAAAAGAAATGCAAATCAAAACAACATTGAGATACCACCTCACCCAGTTAGAATGGCAAAAATCAAGAACTCTAATCACAACAGATGCTGGAGGGGATATGGACAGAAGGGAACCTTACTGCATTGTTGGTGGGAATGTAAACTTGTTCAACCACTTTGGAAAGCAGTATGGAGGTTCCTCAAAAGACTCCACATAGAGCTCCCCTATGACCCGGCAATCCCACTTTTGGGCATTTACCCAAATGTTTACAAACAAGACCACACTAAAGCTACCAGCACGACTATGTTTATTGAAGCATTATTTACCATAGCCCCAACCCAGATGCCCCTCAGTAGATGAATGGATCAAGAAAATGTATGTATACACAATGGAATTCTATGCCTCCGTCAGAAAGAATGACATTGCCCCATTTGTTAGGAAATGGAAAGACTTGGAAAAAATATTATAATCTTTTATTGTAAAATAGTAGAGCCAAGTACAGTGGCTCTATCCTGTAATCCTAGATACTTGGGAGGTGAAGATTTGGGACATTAAAGAAAAGCAAGACTTTAAAGGGTTTAAAATAATGTCTCAAATAATGAAAAATTTCCCCAGAGTTATAGGTGGAATTATGTACCTCTTAAATATATACACAAATTCCTAGTTCCAGCATTTCACAATGTGTTTGAAGACAGTCTTTAAATAGACAATTAAGGTCCTGGCTCTGGTGGCTCACACCTCTAATCCTATTTGCTCTGGAGTCTGAGATCTAAGGACTGAAGTTCAAAGCCAGACCAGGAAGAAAAGTCCAGGAGATTGTTTTCTTCACCAAAAAGCTGGAAATAGAGTTATGAATGAAGAGATAGAGCAGTAGCCTTGAATAAAAAGGCTCAGGGACAGCACCAGGCCTTGACTTCAAGCCCCAGGACCCACAGAAAAGGCAAAAAGGAAGAAGAAGCAGTAATGAGGCTCAATGAGGTTGTGGGAGACGGCCCAATATATGATCACTGGTGATACTGGGGATGTATCATAGGTAGCAAGAAGAGATTAGAACACAGGCATGTACAAAGGGAAGAAAGCATAAAGACATAGGGAGAAAATGATCATCTACATGGCAGTGAAAGAATGAAGTCTTCAAAGCAAATGAACTCTGTCAACCCTTCATCTCAGACCTCTACCTCCAGAACTGTCAGAAACGTAATTCCCATTATTTATGACAAACACTATGCAAACTACTGAGCAAGCCACCATAGAGAACATAGAAGTACTGTATGAACACATTAAGTATTATGTTCAAGATTTCATAGCAACTGAACATGTTCAATAGACTTGATATGTCAAATGTGTATAGATACTGTTCTATTACTTATTTTAACCTTGAGTCTTATTTAAAGTCATAAATCTAACAATTTGCTCCCAGTATAGTTTATTGAAGAGATATAGTTTAACACAAAGTATCATAAAGCTTTGACAACTGAAACTAGCATGCTTAAGTAATAAGTAAATTTTCAGGATTTACAAAACATTTATCTATTAAGATATGTGTTGTTGAACTTACTGATGTTTAAGATTGCAACTCATAAACACTTAGAAAGTTTATATGCACAAGTAAATGGCTAACTCTACCAGAACATAACCAAGTCTTCTTCGCCAGTTGTTAGAGAGTTTCTTATGTCCTGGTTGTTTTCCTATAACAAGATGGGCCACTTGCAGATGTGGTACACTGTGTTACTAAGACAGGGCCATGGCACATTTCAAAGCAGTCTTTAAATAAGAATATGGAGCCAGGCGCTGGTGGCTCATGCCTGTAATCCTAGCTACTCAGGAGGCTGAGATCTGAGAATCACAGTTCAAAGCCAGCCCGGGCAGGAAAGTCCATGAGACTCTTATCTCCAACAAACCACTAGGAAACTGGAAGTGGCACTGTGGCTCAAGTGGTAGAGCGCTCAACTTGAGCTGAAGAGCTGAGGGACAGCGCCCAGGCCCAGAGTTCAAGTCCCACGACAGACCAAAAAAAAAAAAAAGAAAGAAAAGAATATGGTTTTCCATACTATCTACATTTTTCTCATTAGTGGTCTATGTTGTTTTTAGAGATTAAAGAAAGTAATAACAATAAAAAGTAGAGTAATAAGTAATAAATAATAAAAAGTAGCTGTATTAGAGGCATGTACTCACCTGTGCTGAGAATGTAGATGCTTTCTCAAATTCTTCACTTTCCTCCATCACTGTTTCTTCAGTCCCAGCTAAAGAATCTTTAAATTGTTAAAAAAAAAACAGATAAATTAAATCACCTATTACCTTTACTTCTTCTGATTTATAAAGCCTGTTGGTGAGAAAGACATTGAAGCGATTGATTAAATAGTGTGTATAGGTTGAAATTAGAATGTAGAATGACATTTAGCTTAAGGATGACTTTATCTGTTATACCATGTATACCTAATAAATAGAAACATAAAAATCACATGTACTATCAGAGAACCATGGGACATTTAGATCCATGTATTTATTGTCTAAAGTTGACATCAGGTTAAATATACATTTTTCCTCAAACATCCATCATTTCTTAGTATTGAAATATTCAAACTCCCTTCTTCTCATCTTTTGAATATATGGTATATTATGGTTTCTTTGTGTCTTTTATGGTTAGGAAGTTTTCTATGTTGTTTAAGATATCATTCTCTGTCAAGGTAGGAGTAAAATATCTTCCATAGCAGCTCTTCAAACTGTACAGATTGGATGTACTAACTGAATCCTGCTAGGACACACTCACAAAGCAATGTTCCTTAGATATCACAGGAGTAATATTACATGTACTTATCTGATTATCTGGCAAGCATTCTTACATTCTCCGATATTAATTTATATGCTAATATATGGAGTTTGAATTTCTCCCACAGAAAACTGTATTTAGCTTTTTTTTATGGTCAAGGTAATGTACAGAGGGGTTACAGTTATGTAAGTAAGGTAATAAGTACATTTCTTGTCAAACTTGTTACCTCTTCCCTTATTTTTCTCCTACTTTCCCTCCCCCCAACCCTCCCTACCCCCAAGCTATATAGATCATTTCCAACATATTGTCTGTGTATATCACTGTTGTATTGGTTCTTTCACCGTTCTGTTGTTCCCCTTCCCTTCCTTAATTCAAATAAATGTACATAAAATACTAGAGTACCAAAATCAAATACAGTGACAACAGGAGATATACCACAGGGGGAAGAACATACAAAGTACATACAAAATCACATAGTACAACGAACATACAAAATCACATAGTACATTAAAAAGAACAACAACAACAAACCATTTCTGTCCATGTCTTGGAGTTGATTTTGCTTAGTGTCATCTTATATGGCCTCAAAAGCTATTATTTTTATAGAAAGTGAAGGAAGCAAGCTGGCATATGACTGGATTCCTAGCTCTTTGGAAGGCGTATACTGGAAGGGTCATATTTCAAGGCTAGTTTAGACAGAAAGTTCATGAGACCTCATCTCACCCAATAAAAGCTGAGTATGGTGACACACACTTCTTACCTCACCTATGAAGGAAAGCATAAATTGGAGGATCACTGTCCAGACTAGCCTAAGCCAAAGGCAAAACCCTATCTCAAAACTAAACTAAGTAAAGCTGGGCACTAGTGGCTCATGCCTGTAATCCTACTTACTCAGGAAGCTGAGAATTGAGAATCATAGTTTACAGACAGCCTGGGCACGAAAGTCAGTGAGACTTTCCAATTAACCACCAAAAAGAAGCCAGAGGTGGGGCTATGGCTCCAGTGGCAGGGCAATAGCCTTGAGCACAAAAGCTCAGAGACAGCACTCAGGTCCAGAGCCCCAGGATGGCAAAACAGTAAAATAGAAATGTAAAATGGCAGAAAAGTCTGGGAATATGCTTAACTGGTACAGTGCCTACCTATCAACTCCCAGTAAAAGGAGGTGGAAGAAGAAGGTGATGGGAAGAGGAAGGAGGAGAAAGGATAATGAACTAAAAGCAGCATGGTGTCAAATGGTATACAAGAGGACAGAACAGGGCTGCTATATGAGACAGAGAAAAGTAGAGGGGAATATAGACCCAGCACTATCAGGAAAAGTAATGGGGAGCAAATCAGAGAAGAGCCTCTGAAGAGACATTGACAGGATGAACATCAATGCAGCAGAAAGCTGAAAGAGAAGGTGCATAGTATTTCCACTTAGGATACTGACAGTAGTCCCCCAGAGACAAAATGCATCATTGGTGCAGGAATGAAAGTAGGAAGTGTCAGCAGATGAGAAGTTCCATTTTCTGGGCTGGGAAGGTGGCTCAGTGGTAGAGTGCTTGCCTTGAATGCATGAGGCCCTGGGTTCGATTCCTCAGCACCACATAAACAGAAAAAGCTGGAAGTGGTGCCGTGGCTCAAGTGGTAGAGCACTAGTCTTGAGCTGAAGAGCTGAGGGACAGCGCCCAGGCCCAGAGTTCAGACCCCATGACCGGCAAAAAAAAAAAAGAAGTTCCATTATCTAAAGAGTCAGAAGACGAGTTCAGAGAAGTTAGAATTAGTGAATAATCCTGTGATAAACATAGTCGTGTTGGTAGCTTTAGCTACCAAATGTTTGTGATCATTTGGGTAAATGCCCAGAAGTGAGATTGCTGGGTCATAAGGGAGCTCTATGTGGAGTTTTTTGAGGAACCTCCATACTGCTTTCCAGAGTGGTTGAACAATTTTACACTCCCACCAAAAGTGCAGTAGCATTCTCTTTTGGCCACATCCCCTCCAGAATCTGTTGTTATTAGATTTCTTAATTATAGCCATCCTAACTGGGGTGATGTGGAATCTCAGTGTTGTTTTGATTTGCATTTCTTTATGGCCAGAGAAGTTGAGCATTTCTTCATATGTCTATTGGCCATTCTTATTTCTTCTTCAGAGTAGTCTCTCTTTAAGTCTTTAGCCCATTTATTAATGGGGTGGTTGTTTCTTTGAAGATTTGTTGTTGAGGGATTTAAGTTTTTGAGTTCTAAGTATATTTTAGATATGAGGCCCTTGTGTGTTGTAACTCAGATGCACCTCAATAGATGAATGAATCAATAAAATGTGATATATATATAATTTATATATATATGTATATGTATATATACATATATTATATATATTATATATATATTATATATATATTATATATATATATAATATATATAATGGAATTCTATGCCTCCATCAGAAAGAATGACACCACTTCATTTGTTAGGAAATGGAAAGACTTGGAAAAAATCATATTAAGTGAAGCAAGCCAGCCCCAAAGAAGTAGAGGTCCCATGGTTTCCTTCAGTTGCAATAATTAGTATATGTCTAGGATAATTTTATCAGATGAGCAGAAAAGCTATGACCATATAAGATGATACTAAGTGAAATGAACCCCAATAAATGGACATAATATGTCTTTGTTGTTGTTGTTTTTAATGTACTAGGTGATTTTTCGGGTTCCTTTGTATGTTCTTTCCCCTATGGTATAACCCCTGTTGTCACTGTACTTGATTTTGGTATCCTGCATCTTGTATACACATTCTAATTTGGGGAGGGGAAGGGGAATAACAAAAAGCTGCAACAAGGACACAGGATGACCCATTGCAACAATGATACCCACAAGGCAGTTAAATGGAAATGAACTTTAAAACTTCAGGGGGTGGAGGAGGTAGGAGAGGGAAGGGATAGTGGGAGAACAACAAAGGCAGGGGTAACAGTGCTGGACAAGACCTGTACTCACAACCTTACTCATGTAACTGAATCCCTCTGTACAGCATCTTTACAGTAAAATTAAATTAATAAAAGTTGTTAGAATTAGTGTCATCGTTTGCGGAGGAAGCAACACATAGTTACTGTTCCTTCTTGTTCTCCTTTGCCCTTGGCCTCCTGACTCACAGCACCAAGGACTATGCTGGTCATGGACATATGACCACAGCCACCATGATTTGTTGCAGAGGAAGATGTTTAGTCTGGTTTCTTCTATTTTAGTTATTAAATGCCATTCAAACAACAATAGACATAATTATATTTAATACTCACCCAACGAATCTGGAATTATCTCATCTGGAGAATGAAGTACTTGTAATGTCTCTTCAGTCCGTTCTGCTAGGTTGTCTCCTTGAAGCCTACACAGGATGAGGAATAAAGCAATCAAATTCTTGGTAAAATTCAACAGCTTTAAAATAGAAATAAAAGTTTACTAAACCCATCTTGGGTTCTGTAGCCTTTAAGGGAAAGTCTTCTTTCCTCCTGGTATGATTGGGATAAGGTCAATGGTTTTACTTCTTTCCTTGACCAGAGAAAAATTTATGAACAAATATTTTCACTGAAACGATGGAGAGGGACTGAGTGAATGAAAAAACAATCTTTAGAAACTGACAGTGTGCTCACATAACTTCTCTTTGCAGGAGGCCTGAGATGGCTTTTATGACTTCACAGAGTTAGCAAATACAAACCCACCTAAGCTCAAAGCTGTGTGGGTCAGGATGTGTCACAGTGGGAGTGAAGATTCCTATGTGAAATGGCTGGGATCCTCACAGATATTGGGTCTTCCTCAGGAGAGCAAAACTGCCTAGTTGTTTTCATGGCAGTATACTGAACTTCTGTATTCTCCACCATATTATGAGAAAAGTAGACTGGCAATGTCTCATTCAGCTTTGGATTTATATCAGGCTGGAGATGCATTATGCAAGAAACATGAAGCTTAGTAATACAGTTGGGAACTTTGCACTAAATACACAGATCTGCTAATGTTGGCAAGTAGTCAGACAAGCAACCCAGACTGGAAGTTTCTATCAGAGTTCTTAACCTTTACTTGAACTTTGATAAATAACAAGTGTTCTCAAAGAAAGTGTTAACAACAGCATGGTATATTACATTAAAAATTTTCAAATGTTAGTATGGTTCATAACTCTATCAGGCTCAAATGTTATCATTTTCAGCTATTTTTTTTTGAGGGGGGTCCAGTCGTGTGGCCTGAACTCTGGGCCTGGACGCTGTCCCTCAGCTCTTCAGGCTCTACCACTTGAGCCACAGCGCCACATCCAGCTTTTTTCTTTTTGCTTATGTGGTGCTGAGGAATAGAACACAGGGCCTCATGCATGCAAGGCAAGCGCTCTACCACTGAGCCACCTTCCCAGCCCACATTTTAAGCTATTTTGTACCTTTGTTTTTATATATCATAGTAGGATTGCATAATAATTAGCTCTTGACATAAATTCAAACAAGTGTATAACTTTTTCTTCAATTTGTGTAAGGATAAATATTATACTTGTATTTCTATTTATACAATATTAATTATGTTTATTTCTATATGGATTATACATTTATACTGTATATTACCTCCTACACATAAAAGCATATTTGTTGTATATTTATTGTGTATGATAATTAAGGCATTCTCAAGAGGAAATACCTGATAAATTGTAATCATTTTTAATGAAGTATATATTTTATAGCTTAATTTGCTTTAAGAATGTTTACTCTGAAGAAAATAGCACTTTTTAAATAAATTAACTATTTCTCTAATCTTCCATTCTGTCTTTCACTATTTTACTCTCTCCAAGTAATTAAGAAAATGAGTTCAATAACCAACAATATAAAGTAGTCTTTTTTGAGCATTTGTTTTCTAGGACTATCCTCTCAAAATTACCAAAGAAAGAAAATATATATGTACATGACTTATTAAAGTAGTATCATAATTTAAAAATTCACAAGCTGAAACACAGGCCTGATGGAGCACATGCCTGTCATACAAGCTTTGGCAGAAGGATGCTGAATTTATGTAGCCTGAGCTAGACAGCAAGAACCTGTCTCAAAAAAAAAGCAAAACAACAACAACAATAAAACCCCCAAAACAAAAGCCACATTAACACATTTGGGTATTTAAAGTTAGGCTAAAAACCTTGCAGGAAAAATAAACTTACAACAAAGAGCAAAATGAAGCAAGCCTCTAAACTTTTTCTGCTTATTGAATGCATCGGTAGAACAGAATGTTTATTTAGCTTTTATTGATCTGCTCAGTCATTGGCCAAATGATAACTGTCCTTGGTTTCAGAGTTCTCAATTGGGTGGAGCTGAAAACACAAATTGCCTTGAATGGAGACTTCAAAATTGAATGGCATGAAAGCAGCTCATGTCTGTTCAGTGCTACTCTCCAGATACCTGTGAAGTTTGATTTACCATGACTTGAGGCCTGTTTTGTTGATCATCACTACCCTGGAGTGCTCTACCAGAATTTCCTAACCTGGAATCCACACAGCACTACTTTTGTAAGAGGTTAATAGGTGCTGAACAAACAAGGGTTGTGTGGGCAAATCCGGGAAATAAGTCTTTAAAAAGTTATATTGTTTTTACTTTTTTGCCACAGACCTTTTTATGCATAATCCCATCCTTTTCTGTTTTCTAAAACCACTCTTCCATATTAAACAAACTCCCTTAAATTTTCAACTCCAGCAAAAGTTATTTTCTGCTTCTCTTTGTCATGTTGAAACCCATTTCTCTTCCTAACATATTACAGTACTGAGGCTGAGGTTGTATCTTAGTAGTAGAGTACATGTTGGGCATGAATGAGGCCACTGGATTGTTATGCAGCAGCAAGCAGAATTAAGACAATATTATCTGGGCATCAGGGCTCACACCTGTAATCTTAGCAACTTAGATGGCTGAGTTATGAGAATTGCAGTTTGAAGCCAGCCTACACAGGAAAGAGACTCTCACCTCTAATTAACAACACCCTGTCATTCCTTCCCCTCAGATCCCAATCCTGTGCTAGTCTACCATTTTCCTGAGTATGTGCAGCTCAACAGTTCTAAAAAAAATATCTCTCTAGGATCATTGAGGAATCAGTGGTCTTCAGCTTTAAACTTGTCTGTCTTTCTTCTAGTCTTATCAAAGTCTTTTAAAAAGATACCAACTTCCTCACATATAACTCAGAAAGTGTATTAGAATAAAGACTTGAACTCATCTTCACACACTAGTCCTATTAATTATCTTCACCTGGATTCCCTTCCAATTCACAAAGTCTGAGAGGCATTTTCCCTTGTGACACTTCAGTGATCTATCAGGCTTGTGATTTCAATCTCATTGTCTCAGGTTTTCTCTTGGTCCTTAATCATCTACCTCCTTCCACTTCCTTCCCACCAGCATTATTCATCTTGCGCATCTCTTCTGTGACTCTCATAGCAAATAAACAAACTTGCTACTCTTTTGCCCTTAATAACACACACACACACACACACACACACACACAATTGCTGTCATAATTATCTAAAACATCTAGCAGCTATCTTTTCTTATGTATTCTTCTTTGAACCAAACTTCTGAAACAATTTAATCTTTAATACTTCTACTTGCAGTTTTTATTCCCTCCCTAATCTGTTTTAATTTGGCTTGCGCCCCAGACACTTTAGAAAATTGCTTATGCTAAGACTGCCTAACGTCCTAATTTGCCACCAGCAGTAGAAATTTATGAGCTTGTCTTTTTCAGTTGTGGGGCTTGCACTCAGTGTCTGGGCACTCTCCCTGAGGTCTTTCACTCAAGGCTGGCACTATACTTTGAGCCACAGCTCCACTCTGGTTTTCTGGTGAGTAATTGGAGATAAGAGTCTTATGGACTTTCCTGCCCAGGCTAGCTTTGAACCAAGATCCTCAGCTCTCAACCTCTTGAGTAGCTTGGATTACAGGCATGAGCCACCAGCACTCATCAAGACCTTGTCTCTGTTTGACCCTTGGTGGACACCTACCTACCCATTCTTGAAGCTATCACTGTTCCTTTGCTGTGGCCCTCTCCTTCCTATATATCTACCAGGCTGACCATGAATATATCTTCTCAGTCTCCTCACAATGCTCCCTTCCCTTATATACTGTTAATTAATAATGGTTTCAGCTTTACCAATAGTGTTTCTAATTCTTCATCATCTATCTGAATCATCTCACTCATTGTTTTAATCACACACATAGGCTATGGTTTTTCAAGGCTTTATCTTGAAACCCAAAACTCAAGACTGATGCCACCAAATTCTTGCAAAGCATTTTACTTGAATGCACTACAAGTACCTTAGAAGGTTATGTCCCAAAGCAAGCCCATCCTCACTGTCACCTCCACTCACACCACACATGGCTAATTAATCCTTGCTAATCACTCTTCCTAAAAAGATTCCATGCATCTACCACCTGTTGATATTATTGTTATGATGCTTGGGCTCATTTGGAGTTACCTCTATTGTTATATACTTTCCTCATAAATATCCACAATTAGAATCTCACATACAAAATTCTAGTGTGCATGCAGTTACCAGAATCTTTAAAACACAAATTTGACCATATGACTTTTATGCTTTAATTGTTTTAGTGGAAGCAGTCTCAATATTAATTGGCTAAGTGGGTTCATGAACAGATTTTAGAAGAAACACAATAATTAACAGTGAATGGGAATAAAGAGTTTATAGTGCTGGTGACCTGTCTTTTAGGGAGAGAGAAAAAACATAATTTCAGCTAGTTTCTCAAAATATCTCTGACTGAAAATCTTTGTTTAAGAATTCCCATTTTTATTGGCTTCTTGTCCCCTGTGAGATGAGTTATGTCTTCCTCAGAAAGTTTTTGAGGTCCTCGACTGCACAGTCCCTACCTCTGTCTGCAAATTCACCTTCTTGGATTTTCCAGCATGATTTTGTACTCCATAAACCCCAAACTGCTTTCACATTTTTGAAGATATTTTGTTGTTAAACCACCTTATGTCTTTATACTATTATACCTTGCAGTATTTATCCACCCTCTCTTTTATTATGTGGCTTATTTCTTGGTTTTCATTTTAGATTATCTTTCCAGATTTTTTCTTTTGGGAGATAAAGCATTGCATGCAAATCTTTACTATAGTTTTATTTTACTGTAGTTTGTTTATTTAGATATCTGTTTTTGTTAGCAAACTGTGTTTAAAACAAAAAATTTCATAGTATAGGTAGTACTTGAAAAAGTCTTTTAAATAATCTGAAAATTTAATGGGGAGGAGAAAAGAGAAGGTGTATTCCAGGAGAATATAGATTGGACTCATGTTGGGAAATGAAATCTCCTGGAGAAAAATGTAGAAAGTCTCCCAGGCCTTTCCTACCGCGTGGAGGACCAAGAT